ATACTTTTACAGCATAGTGAGATGTTATCTTCCTATTATATTATTACAGACAAATTTATTAATGAAGGGACTAAAGGTAATCTTCATTTAGCGACTGCCTCAGACAGCGACAGTTCACAGTTACGATGGTGATGACAAAGTAACTTTGCAACCAATGCCCACATTTACAACCTTCACAGCATCTCTCTCTCAGTCGTGTGTTCACCATTACAGTCAGTTAGTTCATGTTATCCTGTATCTGACCTGTTTTTTTTTCTCCCCCATCTCCCAGGATGGAGAGATTGCCTAAAAAACTGTCTCTTCCTGAGCTGCTTTTCTGCACAGTGCATCCCTATAAAGTGCTAACTGCACATTAACAAGCTCAGCTCTGTGACCTTGATTAGAATGTTCAGTAGGCTTGCAGCTGCTGCCTGAAATTGACAAGACCCTAATCAGTTTCACACTAAAAGCTTTTGTTTGCCTCCTAAGCAAACTCACAGCCTCAAGCACTCTAGGCAAACAGCCAGCACTAGTGCATTCCTTTCCATATGCATTCCCCATTGTGTGCCTGCTTACTCTCTGGTAATCCCTTCCTCTTCAATGAATGTAAATACAAACATTAATCCCCTTGTTGCTAATTATCCAGTGTTGGGGTGAGCATTCCAAAGGGCGGGGGAGTGGAGAAATGTATCAAGACGATAAGATTTTCCCTTTTACCCAGCTTCCTCGTGAATCAAGTCTCCCTGCTGTATGGGATCACCCTGCTGTTTGGGGTCATATCCTTATGACACTATAAAACAAAGGAAAGCTAAAGTAAAATCAGAAGCCTAGTTGTGGTCACATGATTTTTCACTTAGTGACCATTTTGCTTAATGACTCAGTTGTCAGTCCCAACTGTGGTCGCTAAACAAGGACTACCTGTATAAAGCCAATTTAGGACAGTAACAGAAAATACTGCCTTTACATGCATCACTTCATGTTGAATTGGAAACAGTCACCTGGGATTACTCTGCAAACTGCACTGGGACCATGTAACAAAGAAAAACAAATTTAAAAGATGCAATGGGGAGAAAAGAAGTAGTGAAACAGAAAGCATTGGACAAGTATATATATGTGCTAATTTGAAAAAAACTGTTCTTTATAATAGATTACTACAATATTGGCCCATAATTTTTCTGCAAAATAATGTGTGACGGGTACATCCAAGTTGAAAACATTCTAGGAAAATGAAAAATGCCAGTACTGTTTTTCTTTGGTGAATTCTGCAGCCATTCTGTCATAGCTACATACTTTCAGGGTTCTTACCAAGACTGAAATGTTGCTCTACTTAATGTAATCTTTGTGACTTGTTTCAGATTAATATGTTCTACTAACAACAAATCAACCTTTATAAATTGTCTGAAAGGTCCAGAGGAATATTTTATTAACTCAGATATACCTTAATAGACTTTCACATTTTACCATAATAGTCTGCTTTACCATATATTTCTGCTCATTAGGGAATCATTGATTACAACTTACATAAATCAAAATCAGTAGCAATAAGTGAGAACTGCTGAGAGGCCTTTACCTAAGATAGAGGTGATCAGCAGATAATCTGACAATATATATCTTTCACGGGTAGAGTTAAGCTGCTTGTCAGGAGGGGATGAAAATTAATGGAGTATTTTCTAATAGAGAAAAAGATGCATGGAGTGATATCTGCCTCAACTCTCATGTTTCCTCTCCCTTCCACTGGCAGACAAAAAAGACTTGACAACACTGTTTTGCAGCAGACCTGATCCTTCTATCAAGCTGTATTCAGAAGGTGGTGCTAGTGAATATTTGACACCCTGGTTGGTGACCTTGGTTGTCCCATTCAGTTCCTTCTTGGCCCCAGTGCTCTTCATTAGCTACATGAATCTACTAAGGTGAAGGTCATCTGGAGCTTTAGGATGGATGGGGGAAAATAAGCAGAAACGGAATCAAGAGAAGTCTGAGATGTAGGGCCTTGACTGTATATGGGATTAATTCTCCTATCGTGAATCTGGCCATTAAAATTTCCAGACAAAATCCCCACATCCCCACGGTGAGAGGCATTGTTCTCAAGTGATGGAATGCACACACACACACACACACACACACACACACGATTCCCTTTTCTCTCTGTATTTACAAATGCATCTCTTCTGCCAGGCACTTCACTGCTAACTGATTTTAGCTTTGTTTTCATTTTTTTGCTGCCTGGCATACTTGTTTGAGAAAAAAAAGTGGAATAGGCCTTCAGTTTGCTTCTGATCCTCCTTGCAGAGACATGTCAGTTCCCCTCAGCATCATAGGGTGCCTCCTGGAGTGTGTGGCTCTGCCCTGTCAAAGAATCATGGTGGGGGCCAATTCACCAGAAACACCCCATTTTGCTAGGGAGGCATTTCAGTCTGTGGCTTTACTTCGAAAGGATGCTTTCATTGAAATCTCAGTGAAGCAAAGCTCCCCTGAAGAGCTGCACAGTTCCGGGAGAAACTGAATAAATAAATTTAAAAAACAAGGCTTCCTTTGTCATATATTCCTCATTCCTAACTGCATTTGAGATTATATATGCAAAACTGGCATATTCTTGTTCAGGGGATCAGGATCTCATGAACAATAATGTACAATACATTTTAAGACACTCAAAAGAGGTTTCTATAGTAATACAGTTCATCTTCATCTAAGTAATGACAATTTCAGCCTTAGGTTTCATATTCACTTAGACTACGGGTAGTCCTCACATACCACTCATTTGTTCAGCAACCATTCGAAGTTACAATGGTGCTGAAAAAATAACTTTATGGCCCATTTACGACCCATTTAGACCTGATCCTTCTATCAAGCTGTATTCAGAAGGTGGTGCTAGTGAATATTTGACACCCTGGTTGGTGACCTTGGTTGTCCCATACAGTTCCTTCGGTTTCATATTTTTGCAGCGTCCCTCAGTCATGTGATCACCATTACAGTCAGTACGTATCATCCTGTGGTTGACCTGTGTTTTTTTCTTCCCCTCCCTCCCCTTGCAGGGCAGAGAAATTGGAGAGAAAGGATTTGCAAGAAGTAAGCTGTTTGCTCTTCTACACATCAAAAACAGTGCAATCATACTTGCATCCCAGGGCTTGGAGTCATGGGCATGCTATACAAACATCTTACAGCACTCCCTTGAAATCTCTTTCTCTCCAATCTCTCTGCTCTGCAAGGGGGAAGGGGAGAAAAAAAGCGATTTCTATAGGCAATTTCTCCTTTGCTTGATCCTTTCCCCCCTCCCGCAACAAAGCAATGAGACTGGAGAGGAAGAGATTTTAAGAGAGTACTGTAAGTTGTTTGCGTAATGCACCCGTGGCTCCCAGCCCTGGGCTGCTGGCATGATCCCACTGCTTTCAATTCCAAAGGATGGGGAGTGGTTAGGAGGCAAACAAAAGCCAAAGATGTGAAACTGACTAGTCTTGTCTCTTTCCAGCCAGAAAGCACAGTCACAGTCGCGTGATTTCCCACTTAGCGACTGCTTCACTTAGTGGTGGTGTTGCCAGTCCCAGTTAGGGTCGTTAAGCAAAGTCTACCTGATTTGTCAATAATGTGAGATAAAATTTAAAAATTTACCAACTGGCACCAATACTGAATGTCTTATTTTTCACCTGTTCAAATGTACTCATATGCTTGAGGCTTATTTTTAAAATTCTGCACTGGAATATCAATGTGGTTGTATCTTCAGATTAATTTGACACACACACACTCTCTTCAATCCCATGTAAAATTATTAGTCAATTGTGTTCATACTACCTCTAAACTACAATTTTTTTGTACAAGTGAACATTAATTGAGTTCACACAACATTCTAAGGCACAAACCACAAGCAAACAAATGACAGCTGAGCACATGGCATAAATACAGCCATTCACTGGACACAAGACATGAGTCATTCTCCTAGG